TAACATGCAATCATAACTTTTTTATTTACAGTATAAATATACTATTTAAAAAAAATTGTAAAAACATTTTGTTTAATTAAATTTTTTATTTATTTTTTTATATATTTATACAGTACAGTCTAGTTATACTCTAGTTATAGTGTTGAATAAACTGTATATTATTTACCCGTAAATTTAAATACCAATATTAAATTAATTCAATATATATATTAAAATTAATTATAAAAATAACATATACTATATATACAATATATATTAATATCTTAACTATTTATTTTATGTTTGGTTTACTTATAGATCAAATTTTTTTTATTAAAATATATTATTAGATTAAAATTGCATATTAAATACAGTAGTAGTATTAGTATAGTCTATAACAATATGTTTGAATTAGTGAGAGAGTGTGTAAATTAATAAAAAAAAGACTTAGTGAGTGAGTGAGTGAGTGAGTGAGTGAGTGAGTGAGTGAGAGAGAGAGAGAGAGAGAGAGAGAGAGAGAGAGACTTACTTAGATTGGAGAGTATAATAAAAAAAATTGTAGATCTCTTAACTGTACTTAAAATTTATTATACATTTAAATAAATTTATTTAATATATGTAAAGAGCCAGTCAATTGATCTTGCGCCACGTAATTTTTGAATAACTTTTAAACGGTAAGAGATAATTTAATTCTGTAAAATACATTTAAGAATATCATATCGACCACACTTAATATACACATAATCGCAAAACTAGGATGACCAGATATACAAAATATCAGGACCAACGAAAGACACTATGCTACAGTTCAAACCACAACTGATAAATTTATTATGACAATGAAACTTTGTAGTCAAGAAATAATAGTTTAATATAAAAAAGAATCATCAAAATCGAATTGGTAGTTAGTTTTTATGGCTTGTTAAGTTTGTCATAAATCATATTATATAATATGGTCTAAAATAAAAATGGCGTTATTTATGACTATTATATATTTATAAGATAAAATTTTCAATTATATTACTAATTATAAAAACGAAATTTTAATACGTCTTCTAGTTTTCGAAATAATCGAATTTTAATATAAATTATATTATCAAATTACAATAGTGTGATTTATATTCAAATTCGATTATTTTGAAAACTAGTCGATATATTAAAATTTCGTTTTTAGAAATAGTAATATAATTTAAAATTAAATCTAATAAGTATATAATAGTCATAAATAACATCATTTTTATTTTAGACCATATTATATAATATGATTTATGACAAACTTAACAAGCCATTAAAACTAAACTACCAATTCGATTTTGATGATTCTTTTTTTATATTAAACTATTATTTCTTGACTACAAAGTTTCATTGTCATAATAAATTTATCAGTTGTGGTTTGACCTGTAGTATAGTGTCTTTCGTTGGTCCTGATATTTTGTATATCTGGGTATCCTAGTTTTGCGATTGTGTGTATATTAAGTGTGGTCGATATGATATTCTTAAATGTATTTTACAGAATTAAATTATCTCTTACCGTTTAAAAGTTATTCAAAAATTACGTGGCGCAAGATCAATTGACTGGCTCTTTATATATATGATGTAAATATAACTGTTTTCCCAAATGACAAATAATTTATAATTGTCTGCAACCAAACATAAAAACATTAATACATAAAATAATAGCATTTAAAATATTATTTTATTTGTTATTAAAAATACATATAAATTTATGATTTTTTTAATTAAATATAAAAGGGTATATTTAATTTAAATATTTTGTAATCTTATTTATTTATTTATTTTTTAAAAAAATTATGTATTAATAGATTTTTTAATAAGAAATTTTTAATTTAAAAGTTTAAAATCTTAATGACTAATAATTACTAATATATAATAAATATTAGATTACAGTACCTACTGAAATGTAATAATAATTTTTACAGTAATTTATACAAAATAATAAATAATTTTTTTGAGTATTTTTTAAAAATAACTACTAAATTACTTATAGGTATTTCAAACATTATACATTTATATGTTTGTTAAATAATTTATATTATATACTTTACTACACATAGCCTAATGTTTAAATCTATTGACTAATGTTAGAAACACATATGTTTATCTAATTAATTAATCTAATTAATTAATTAATTTGTTTGGACACCAAATGTTATACTACCCAAGTAATAGTATTTTAAGTTACAAAAAGTAATAGACAAAAACAATTATAAAAAATTGTATTATTAGTAGTAGTAGTAATATTATTATTATACCATGTAAAATAATTGATAACATATACTTACTATAAATTAATAATAATAATAATAATAATTTATTTTTTTTAATTACTTCAAATAATATTATAATACATTTTTTACAAACTTATCTATTAATTAAATTATATTTTGGTACAAAAGAATTATATCATAAATTAAGTTTTTCTTAATTTAATTATTATATTATATTTAATTAAATATTTAATAATTTAATTACAGTATATAATATATATATATGTCATATATTTGTCTATGTTTTTTGTTTGCTAATTGTTTTATAATCACTGTACATACAAAACAACTTTTAAAGAATATTCTTAAACATCAATTAAAATGATATATATTTCCGTAATATAAGTTTATTTATATATATATATAATATAAATAATAAAATCATAAATTTGTGTAACACATGCCATTCCCAATGGTTCCTTAACTCTCTCTCTCTCTCTCTCTCTCTCTCTCTTCTCTCTCTCTCTCTCTCTCTCTTTCTCTCTCTCTCTCTTTCTCTCTCTCTCTCTCTCTCTCTCTCTCTCTCTCTCTCTCTCTCTCTCTCTCTCTCAGTCTCTCCCTCTCAGTCTCTCTCTTTCTCTCTCTCTCTCTCTCTCTCTCTCTCTCTCTCTCTACTCATTCAATCAATCAATTCAATCACTCACTAACTTTCTCTCTCTTTCACTCACCCACTTACTCACTAACTCATTCAATGGGAGACTATCCTCTATGAGAGAGAGAGAGAGAGAGAGAGACAGTTTTCGCGCAACTCATATACCATAAACTTTTGGCGTTATTTCATATCATTTCAACGGCCGACTGCCGGAGTCATTGCTAACACAACATACTGTATATTCTCTCTGAGTAAGGGCTCAGTTAGGTCTACATTAGACACACACACACAAGCGTTTCGGTAGTAGTGATGTTGTTGTTGGTGTTGGTGTGTAAATCACTTGTAGACATACATACACATAAAGACAACCAATTTCTCTATACACATACTAATACATCAATAGAAATATAATTATATTACAAACAGTATACTTAAATAACAAATTTGTTGTTTTTTTTATTATGGTTTGAAAAATAAAACCCCAATTTGTTATATACATGTCTATATCATTATCCATACTATATGTCATATAAAAAAAATTTATAATAATTTTTTTGTTGTGTATTTTATGTGTTTATTGATATATATTTTGTATGCTTAGAACATCGCCAATACTCTGGTGACAATTACTCTAAAGTATTATTAATATTATTATTTACCGCAAGTTTTTTTTTAAAGTCTATATCCTCCTACTAATAATAATAACCACAGTTTCAATATTGTAGAAAAAATACTAATAATAATAATAATAAATTAGTCAAATATTTTATGAGTGTGTGTCAAGTGATATAAATTTGTTGTTTTTTAAATACAAACATATAGATAATAATATTATTTTTTTTTTAAATAAAAAGTGTCATAATATTTAACATTTTTGTGTTTTTTATATTATTATCATATATTAAACATTCCTATAACTATATGTTGAATAAAATAATAATATTTAAATTAATATAATTCATGTCAACAACACAATAACAGTGAGTGAATAATAATAATAATAATAATAATATATAAAAATATCTTTTAATTTATTCTTGTGTTTCAGTGTTTAAGTTATATTATAAAACAAACTTATTGTGTAGTCATATATAAAAAACATTGAAATAAAGTATTATTATTATTGTTATCAAAAAAATAGTGATACACATAGAATATTCATTAATATATTTTACCAAAAAAATAACATAAAAATAATATAATATTATTTATTCATTTATATATCTAAGTTATATTTAAATGTGTTTTTATTATTAAATAGTATTATTAATACTGTAGTATAAAAATACTATACATGTGCTGCTGATTAATATTAGACAAAAAACTAAATATAATAATAATACACTTTTGAGTAATAATAATAATAAAAACATTATTCAAAAATATGTAAATTTATATTTATTTTTTTTTATAAATAAAACTAAATATAATAACATAGAAATATAAAGTTGTTTTTTAAAGTGTATTTACTATATAATAATAAAATAAATTATATACTCAAAATTATTTATGATTTTGCTAAAACTGTGTATAATTTATTAGTACTATTTTTATTATATCTACAATATAATAGTAATTTTAAAAATTATTTATTTGTCATACATTATACTACTAATACTATTACTATACAACCTAAATAATAAATGTTGACTTTAATTAATAATAATAAACTAAGTAAACATTGGTTTATGTAAATTATATTTACTCTAATATACTATCATATATTTTTTATATAAAAATCTATTTAATATATATAAATATAAATAGATAATAAATTTTTTCTTTGACAAACAAAATAGTATAATAATAAATCATTTTTAAAAATTAGTAAAATTAATTGTTTTATATATATAATTATGTCATTACATATTTATTTGTGTTTGTTTGTAATAATAAATATATTAATATACATTAATAATCAGTGAAATTCAATTCAATTCAAAAAAATAAATATATTAATTAATAATTATATTTAACAAAATAAATAATATTTAAAAATGTATAATAAATATACTGTTGTTTTGTCAAAAATATTATTATATATACATTTGATTCAATTAATGAATAATAATTATTTTAATTATTATAACAATTGTTTTGCTGAGGCCAGTGATGAACAACAACAACAGCACCAGGAGTTTGCTGTCAGTAATCGCCAGTTTAATACTAAATACGGTACACTCAGGGGTGTTATAATACCTATGACCAGAGGTGGTGGTAGTGGTGATACCACTACAACACAAACAGCCGGTAATAACGGTCAACAACGGTCATCAACCGGTAGTTCGGGTTTTGCTCAATTAGGACCAGTAGAGGCCTACTTTGGCATACCGTACGCATCGCCGCCGACCCAAACTCGACGCTTTATGCCGCCGGTAACGCCCCCTCATTGGCGCGGCGTACGACTGGCCAACCGTCCCGGACCAGTGTGTCCGCAAGTGTTACCCGATTTAGGTAACGGTACCACCAAACAGGGACAGTCGGCTCAACGTCAGGACTTTTTGCGCCGAGTGCTACCGTATATGAGAAATCAGAGCGAGGACTGTCTATATTTGAATATCTATGTGCCCTATAATCCCGGTGCTCAACCATCAAGCGGTAAGTTATTACTATCTCTATTGTAATATTATAACTTTTTTTTTAAATTAGTCAAATAATATAGTTTTAAATTTATAACTTTATTATGTCGTAAAATCATAAAGTATTTTCTAAGTTAAATAATTTTAAAACATATTTATCGTATAATATTTTATTATTTTTAAATAGTTAACTAATTTGTATCCACATAAAAAAATTATATACTAATACTAGTAAATATTGTAGTGTATTTATATATATAACAAATTATATCATTATGTTTTGTAAATTTTTTAATTTTATACAACATATACCATACAGTATATACAATATTTTTTATATATTCCTATTATTCTATACTGTAAAAAGCTATAGACATCACTCAAAATTTTGTTGTTGTTATTATACTGCATATGTATATGTAGTACTTTTAAATACACAATACTTTATGTATGTTATATGATATATATTTTATATCAAATATATTTAGATAAATTATATAAGATATATATATATGATATAATATATCTCAAACTCAATGCAAACACACACATAGTTTTGATGTATGATATGATATGCATTAACCACTACTACTGCTACTACTAACAGTAGAAGATATATTATATATATATAATAAAAAATATATGATATGATATATAAAGAGAAAAAACTTGAATATATGAGAAATAAAAACTTATGAAAAACACACACAAATGCAAAGTCCTATCATTCAATCTCTCTTTCTTTCTCTCCACACATACATACAAATCATACAATAAGTCTTATGATTAGATATTTGTCTTCAAAAACATATAAAACACATACATAAAGACAGACAGACACACACACACAAAATGAATATATATTTGAATATAAATTTTTCTATCTGTTTGTATTGTATTTTTAAAGTAAAGAATTTGCTTTTTTAGTTGTTTTTTTCTTATTTTTTTATTATACAATATATTTTTTTTGTGTATTCCAAGTACTGTTTGTGTGTCGACAAAAAAATTTCAATACATAAACACACAGAATATTCTGTATGTCTCTTATAATTTGGTATTCTCTCTATGAGATGATTGTCTACACAAAAAAATACTATACTATACTATACTTTAGTATAGTTTAACTTAAATATATAAAATATAAAAGACAAATATATAGACAAATATATATGATTACCAAATGTGGTCTGACTTTTAAAAGCATACACCAAATGTTTTTACAACAAAAAAAATATAAGATTTTTCCTTTATATATATAGTATTTATATATATATAACCATTTCTTTAAATATATATATACTATATATATATATATTTCAACATTTATATAGCTTATAGCACCGTATTATATAATAATAAATTTGAATGGTTTTAGTTATATTAAACTATATTTTTAAATTAAAATTTTTATACTATCGCATTAGTTTAATTGAAGTTTAATTTTCTACACACTCATACACATACAAAGTTTAATATGTAATGTAATTACATATTTAAATAATACAAAGAAATAAATTAAATTAAAATATAGATATAGATATCAAATCTTTGAATTTTAGGCTAATTTAAGGCTAATTTGTCTATAATAGAAAAATATTAAACTAGTATTATCATTATTACAATATTATTATTATTATTATTATAACCAGAGCAATTAGTTTTTAATAACAAAAACACTGGATATTATTTTCATTATAGAAAATTATAGATAATTTTTATTAAATTATATAAAATATATGTATAGTATATTTTACTATATTGTATTATAATTTTATCGTATAGTACCGTACAGTACATTATATATAATATAATCTATTTTTATGTATAATTAAAGCTAAAAATCTAAATATAAATCTTTTCATTTAATTAAAATCTCATTTCTGATTATTATTATTATTATTATTATATATAATACATTCACTCTCTGTCGACCCCCACCACTAACATTATAAATTACTCCCCCCTCTCTCCTATCCATATTAAAATAATAATGTATGACAAGTGCACTATTCTATGTAGAGATTATAATATAAATTATTATTATTATAAATAAACAGTGTATGTGTTTTGATGTACACACAAACACACTCATCGGTGGGTTAATAATAATTATCAACCATTTTGTACGCTTTATTAATTATTAAATAACATACACATTGAGGGGGTATCACAAACACACACACACACAAAATAAAAGGTAATTTCACACCATTGTATAATAAATGTGAAAACATTTGGCTAAAAGTATTGACCAAATAAAATAGATTTTTTTTTGCTGTACTGTCACTAAATTTGTGATGAGATAGTGTGTGTGTGTGTTAGTGTGTATATGTATGTATGTGTGTGTGTGTGTGTGTGTGTGTGTGTGTGTGTGTGAGTGTGTTAGCAGTAAAGGGAGAGAGAGAGCACTTTAAAAAAATCTAATTTTTGTTATATGTCTCTATACATACCGTATAGTTGTATATGTGTTGGGGTTTACTATATATACGGTATGTGTGTGTTTAGTAGTTGAGGACAACTGTAAAGCCAATGGATGATGGCATCGACCAATTCAATCGATTCAAAAACGGTTAGACTATGTGTGTGTTTGATTCAGACATTGACTTTTACTAGAAATGCTTGAGTGAGAGAAAGAGAAAAAGAGAGAGAGAGAGAGAGAGAGAGAGAGAGAGAGAGAGAGAGCAGAAAAAATATAGCTAACTGTGCGCTATTGATAGGAAAGGGAAGCAAAATGCAAGAGTCGAGAGAGAGAGAGAGAGAGAGAGAGAGAGAGACTGTTTTTATTTGTTAGAAAAACTTTATTAGAGCACAAAAATTGTTGTTATGTTAAGCAAAAAAAGGAAACATTTATTTTGTATTTTATGGCAATATTTTTAGATTTTTCTTATATATATATATATTGCAATATATACAGTAAATACAATATAAATAAATATATATATATTTGTTGAAAACATGTTTAAAGAAAATCGAAAAACACAAATAAATATTAAATATATTTATTACTAAACTAACACAACAAAAAAGTTATATATTTAAAAAAATAACAATTTTATGTGTATTTTCCAGACTTGAAATAATTATTTATTAAAGATAAATAAAAAATAAAAATTTAATTAAATATTATTTACTATTTATTAATTCTATCAAATAAATTAAATTATATTTCATCGATAAAAATTAAAAAAATAATAATTAAATATAATAAATTTATTTATATTCAATTAGTATATTAATTAATTTTATCAATATATTATAGATATTTTTATTATAAAAGTTTATTTAATCACTAATAATATGTAAACAATAATACTGATGATTAAACTGACATTAAAATTTATAACTAAAAAAAATAAATAAAATTAATTATATAGATTAAAGTCTAAAGTTTAATAAAGTTAGACATTTTCTTTAAAATACATATTAAAAACTTTAAGAAAAAAAATTATTATTCAGTGAATATCTCATTATACTAAATAATAATTAAATTATATATTATGATATACAGTTTAAAATATATCAATATATAATTTATATATATACAGTATATATATATATTATGATATAAGCCACACATTAATTTTAAATCATGAATTTTGAATCATCATAAATGAGTGATGAGTTTTGCATTCAAATTATTTTTTAAATTTATTTGTAATTCATTTATATTTTTAGTTTCATAATATAAATTATTACTAGTATTACTATTATTACTAAATAAAGTAAAATAAATGCAATTTTGTTGTATTTTTAACAGTATATATTATTAGTTTTTATTTTGTGTATACATATAAAAATAGTAGAGATTGTGTTTGATAATTGTTGGGTTAAATCTTTATTTATTTTTTTAAAATAATAATATTATGTAATATAATATTATGTTTATATTGATAAATAAATATAGCATTTTTTTGAATATAATTTTTTCTTAATGAGTTTTTAATGATAGACTAATATATTATTAGTTTTTTTTAAAAAAATAACATTTAGTTTATTAATTTATATAATAAAGCAATATATTATATATATATATATATATATATATATATATATATATATTAATATACAGCATTTATATCTTTTAATTTTAAATATTTATTGATTTATTATTTTCTATATAGTTATATATAAATATCTAAAAATATATATAAAACATATTATAGTTTTATAAATAAATATGCATATTTAAAAATTTATTAAGTTTTTTTTTAAATTGCTTATTCTTGAAGTTTTTAAAGGATAAATATAATGGAAATATTTTCTTTATAAATATATATATTATATATATCTTAATATAGATATATCTAATCCATAATGTATAGTCCATAATGTATTGCAAAATATCTTTCCACTTAAGAGAGAGAGAGAGAGAGAGAGAGAAGAGAGAGAGAATATTTTTACTAAAATAATGATAAGAATATGAATTTAAATATCAATATATATGTCTTATATATAATATCACTGAATAAAGTGATGCTTTCATGTTAATCATATAAGTATTGATTATTTTTTAAATAAAAAAAATAAAAATAAATTTAATGGATAAAAGCGCTTTGGATTTATTTAATTATTAATTTAAATCAAGTCATCCAAATAAAATAATATTAAATTTATTAGTGATATACATATATATATATGTCTTGTATGTACATACAATATATATATATATATAATATTTAATTTAATCAAACTATCAATCAATGGTAATTTAATTAAACAATGATGATTTTGAAAATTTCTAAAAATATCTAAACATAAATATTATTTATATTTTTTAATGTAATATTATACAGTATATAAAACAAAATACTATAAACTATGTCATATTAATTTTATAAATTATTAATTTTATTTTATAAATAATTAATATTAAAATCCTATATATATATATATATATATATATATATATATATTTTAAAATAATTTATATAAGAGAATTCTATGTAAAACTATAATAGATTTATTAAAACACTAATTTTATATAATATGTAAAATATAAGCTTTAGTTTTTAATTATCA